ATGGGGGATGCTGCTTTAGTTTACATTGGTTTTGCAACAATTACTATTGCTTATTTTCTTCAGTGAAACTTGTTTTTTTTAAATGTTATTCTTACCTCATTTTTCATATATCTTTTCTCACAAGGCAAAATCTTTCTTTTTAAAAACTGTAGGTGTGTGCCCTGGCTTTCTACCAGTGTCTTTCCCTGGACAGCCTGAATTTTTATTTTTCAAAGTAATTTTTAAAAAAAGTTCATCTTAATTGAGCTGATGCCCATGCTGATAATTCTAGCTTCACTGTCTCTTAGACTCATTTGAAAACAGAAATCAGATAGAGCCTCACTGGCTTCAATTCACCTATCTAAGGAAAAAAAAAACAAAAACAAAAAAACAAACAAGGAGCCCTCTCGGCTAAAGTCAAGCGGTGGAAACTCGAGGTTCTGAGAATTGCTATATCTTAAATGAAAATGTGAGACACAATTTCATGAAGATGGTCAAGAAACACCAAAACAACCATAACACTTGCCACTTCCCTATCTCCCAGCTGCACCCCAAATCAAGGGGCTTCAGGCACTTCTTACTCAGGTACCATTGAAATGAGAGGTTGTGTATCTGGTGATGAGTATATTTTAAAATTATATACTCTCCGGAGCTCAACCTACAGAAGGTTCTATTACTCTGTCCCCACCCTCCCTGTGGATGTAGTGTGGAAGTATAAAGGGTGAAGTCCCTGCAGCTGTGGCTTCTGGGTTGGGAGCACCTTGGGGCTGCCAGGAGACTAGATTTTCCTCCATGCAGTGGGGAAAAAAAATCTCAATGCAGGGTGGTTACCCAGGCACAGATCTGTTCAGACTGGTTAACACGAAGGACTGTGATATGGGCTTGGCTGTTTAGATTAAAATGCATCGCAGGCTCCGGGAACAAGCACACATCAGTAGTAAAGGCTGTTTAAACCTTTGGGGACAGCCCTATGTTTAGATTACATTAATTCATAAATATTATACTAAATACCACTTAAATTGGACTTAAATGACTTCAAAGATAATGCATTATAATATGGCTATCCAGAGAGCACTAGTCTTTATGTCTTCCAGTAACTCAGTCTTTGCTGCCTCCTATCCTGCTAGACAAGACCAAAGTTATGAATGGATTGCTGGCTTGTTCATGTGTGATCCACCGACTGTGTATGTGTGTGTGTGTTAGCAGGCATGGGTATGCGTGTGTATGTATTTTCAGTCACTGCTTCTGTTTGTTCTCCAGGAAATAAAAAGAGGAAAAGAGAAATAAATGTAAAGTGAGAGAAGGAAAGGATTAGACTAGTGGGTGACCTCTTCCTTTCCCCAAGGGAGAAAAATTCTATAAGAAGGGGCAAAATTGGTCCTCAGCTCACTTCTGCTGCTACCCAGGGAGTTTGCCTCTCCCTTTAATCAATAGTACAATGTCTTTCTCTTTGGAGCCTGGAAAAAACAATCTTTCTCAAAGTGCTTCTAATGGGGGGAGAAAAGAAGACTCTGAGTTAGGCGGGAGAGTTTGCATTAAACTGGGTTTTCTTCTTTGGGTGTTATTTCTTTGCATTGTAATTCTGGGCTTTTCTTCTTCTTTTCTCTCTCTGCCTAGCACCCAGATCTCCCTCACCCTCGCCCAAGTGAATTGGGGGTAAATTTACCTTTACAGTAATTACCCCAGTCCACAACTGCTATTTGCTGCCTCCCCAGCCCAACAGCCTTTCTCTGCTACGGCTGGGTTTGCTCCACAACACCCACCCACTCCCTCCTCCACAGACTCCCAATTTGACTGGAGTAATTGCCTTTTAAGGTTCACTCTACGCATGGCAGGTATTCCATTAACCCTTAGAACTCCTTCCTCCTTTAGTTACCTGAAATGGCAGGTGGCCAACAAATGGATACCCACCTGAAATCTCATGCATTTAATTTATTTTTTACTTATTTTTCTCTTCTCCTCTTTCTCTCTTTTTTCTTTCTTCCTTCCTTTCTTCTTCTCCCCCCCCCTTTTTTTTTTGCCAACAACATGCATTTGCCATCCACACTGGAGGCCAGTATCCTGTCACGTCTCTCAATTTTATCCCAGTATGATCATTAGAAGTTAGAAATTCAAGAAGGGGAAAGAAAGAGCCACAAACATGCCCTGAAACCAGGCTTAACAAAGGCATGTTTCTATCCCTAGCTTCATGTTGTCAATTTAGAGTTGGGGAAAATCTAGAAGCCAAATGCAATCCTCATTCTTCAAGCTTCATCATGCTTTTTGACTTAACAGCAATTAATCACCAATGGCAAGCGAGTAATTTTTTAAGGTGGCCGGAGGCTTATTTTATTAGGATTAACTAATAAATCAGGCTGTATCTCTGAAGGAGGAGTTCAAACTCTTCTAGGACTGAGTAAACCAGACCTCAGAGACTGTCTCATTTATTCAGCTCTCCTGGAGCTTCCAGGCACTGTTAGAGATATTGTGACCCAACCTTGCCTATAAAAATCCAAGGGATAGAGAGAGGCAGGAAGTTTCATAGGGAAAAATATATATGCTCAGGCTCTGAAGGATGAGCTGCGACAACGAGACACCCAGCATGCCGGAGCCAACAGGCCTGCCTGCCACTGACTGAGCCAGTTTAGGGGAAGAATTATTTAGAAAATGAAGTTTTGGTTGTCCTAGGAATCCTGGCTGGATATGTGTATGTATACATATGATACATATGAAATAACTATAATATAACCTTCTCTAGCTTCTAGATGAAAATGATGATAATTCTACTTCTTTGCTATAATACAAGGGAGTTCAAATAACATTAAAAAAAAAAAACCACAGTGATGATACCAGCAAGGGATCGTGAGAAGAAACCAAGGAATATTGTTAAAGTTTATCTTCATTTGAAATAAAGAAGTAAATAAAGTGCTCCAAACCCGGACCTCTTAAGAAGCTCAGCTATCCACAACTGTCTTTTGCTTCTGGTGGGTTCTGTTTTTTTTTTTTTTAACTTTAAAATCTTAATTCACCACAAGAACTGATCATTAAGATGGGCAAAAGATTTCCCTATTTATGCTTTAAAATTTTTCATTATTACTATTTTTAAATCTGAGGACATATGAGAATGACAAAGGTTTGATACAAACCTTGATTAGCTTCTAGGGAGCTTGATTGGAAAGGGAAAAACTACAAAGATTTGGTTGACTTGAGAGGGAGGGGGGAAAAAAAGGAAAGAAATGTTATTTCAAAGACTGCCTCCCGATTTCACCTTTCCAGTCTCTCTTCTGATCAGACAGACATTTTCTCCATATTGGATAAAGGTTGGTTTGTCTCTCCATTACAGCCCCCACCCTCACCCCACCCCAACAAACCCGGTATATTTCCATTCTGCTGTGTTTTTGTGCTACTCAACATGCCATTAACTTTAAGATTTACTCCTCAGCAGGCAAGCTGGAAGATGCTAAAGCCAATAAAAACTGCTCTCTGGGACTCCAACTATGAAGAGTTTGGAGCTCTGCTTAGTATTCGGATGAAGGGAGGGCTGGAGGAGGGAGGGAGGTTGTGATAGTGAAAACCACTGCTGCTTAGAGAGCCAGACAGCTCTGCGCTCTGCACCTAATGTGCCGGAGGATCAGCTCTGTTCATAGCCCATTTGTGGCCAAGGATGAGGCTGCTCTCTCTGTGTGGGTGTGTGTGCGTGCGTGTGTGTGTGTGTTTTCATCTTTAAAACCACCAGCTCTAACACAGCATCTTCAGTGGCTCTCCACACTACTGTTTATTAAAAACGGAACGTCCATACACATCCCTTACAACTTCCTTAGCCCGGTGCTCCTTCCCTGCCTGACGATCAATCTCTCTCAGAAAGCATTTAACTTGCCCACACAGCTCCAGCCCGGATTAATCCCCACTGCACATCCTATACATTACTGTTAGGAAGCGGAGCACTGGGCTAATTTCGTCACCCACCAGCCACCCACACACGTTCTACAACTGAACACGTTTGGGGATCTGCCTTAAAGATAATAAAACAAGGAGAAAACAGGCAGGCTGCAGACAATTCTCATGACCACTTTCCTAAAAAGTTGCTGGGTCTTAATTCTTTGATTATTCTGTCTCCCCCTCCCCCAAGCACTCACTAGCAATGATTGCTTCAAGGGAGAGCAATAATGTACTACAAGCCTCTCTGCATGGTGAGTTTGGGATAATTTAGGCTACACCCTTCAAAATGCATATCTTGCACACACAGATTCCCCCCCTCCCAACCCCCCAGAGCTCCGCTTTCCTGAGAAGGGGATCATTCCGGCTTCCCCGACCCCCCACTCCACCCAGGGGATGGCTGGTTCCTTGCTAAATCTTGTCTTAGGTTTTGTCCCTCCTTCCTTGAAACATCAAACACCCCCTCCCCCACCACTCACACCACAACCGGATTACTGAGGCACATAGCTCGACAGGGAGAGTTTACTGTTAAATTGATAGCAAAATAAAAATGTATATATATATATATATATATCTGAATTTGTCACCTCTCTTCTTTTTAGACGGCTGCGCTCCCCGCTACTCCGGCCCGGAGCGGAGAAGGAGGAGACCATCTCCTCTGAATATTTTCAGCACCAAGGCGATGGACAGCACCCTCGGTCCGCGGCCCGCGGAGCGCCCGCCCGCCAGTCTGCTCAGCGTCCCGGGCTTGGCCGGTGCAGCTGTCCCCGTCCCAATCTTGCAAGTCGCTGCACCCAAAACCCCAAGCCCCGTTTCCCCTCCATCCTCTCTCTCTCTCTCTCTCTCTCTCTGTCTCTGTCCATATTCTGCTTCCGCTGCTCTCCCCACCACACCGCTTCTATCAGCTCCTCGCCCCAAACCCAGCCTTGCCCCAGCCAACAGCTCCCCACGCACCCCAGTCCTGGGCTCGGCTGCCCGAGCGCCTCCCTCCTCGGCGTCCGCCCGAGGCTCCCTCTGCGCCGTCTCCCGCTCGCCCGTCGCCGGCCCGCCGGCCGGCCCGCCCGCTCCTTCTCCCCGGCAAAGTTGAGAGGGGAAGGTGCACTCACCTTTGTGCATGCCTGTGAACCTGTCCTTCAGAACCGTGAGCTCGTAGATCTTGCCGAACTCCTCGAAGAGGGGCTTGAGGTCCTTCTCATCCAGGTTGCGGGGGATCTGCCCAATGAACAGCTTGATGGCATCGTGGTCCTTCATGGGAATGGTCGACGGGTTCCCCGGGCTGTGGCTTAATCCGTTCATGTGCCCGGCGCTGCCCGGGCTGCCGCCGAGCCCGTTGGTACTGAGGCTCGCGTTGTCAGCCTGTCCGTTTGCTAACGTGGCCATCTTTATATACATAGAGAAAATCTTCTTTCCTTTTATTCTTTCTCGCTCGCACTCTCTCGCTCTTCTCCCTCGCAAGCTCGCTCGCGCTCGCACACGCACACGCACACACACACTCGGGTTCTCTCCCCCTCGGTTCCTCTACACCTCGCTCTCCCCTCGCTCTCCGCTCTCTCTCTTTCTCCTCTTCCCTCGCTCGCTCGCGCTCGCGCTCTCTCTCCTCTCCCCGCTCTCTCTCTCCCTCCCTCTCTCCTCTCTCTCTCCCTCTCTCCCTCTCTCTCTCTTTCTCTCTCTCTTTTTCGATCTGGTTTCTTTCTTTCTTTTCTTTTCTTTGTTTTCTTTTTCTTTTCTTTCTCTCTCTTTTCTTTCTTTCTTTCTTTTTTCCTTTTTCTTTTCTTTCTTTCTGTCTTTTTTTTTTTCTTTCTTTCTTTCTTTCTTTTTTTCTTTTTACATTGAACAGACAGGATCTCTGTCCTTTCCGTTTAAACAGGCTGGACCGGTTCAAGTTCCCAGGCAGACCAGGGGTGGGGGCGGCGAGTGAGCGCGCGCGGAGGAGGGGGGGGGCGCGGGGCCCGGAGAGGGCGAGCCGCGGGGGGGGGGGGCTTCCGCGCGGCGGCGGGCGGCGGCCGGGAGCAGGACGGCGTGGGGCGGCGCCGGCCCCGCCGCGCCTCCCCCGTCGGCGGCCCCGGCGAGCGGCGGTGGTACAGTCCGAGACAGCCCCCGGCTATAAATAGCGCCAGGCGCATGGCTCTTCGGGAGGCGCTGAGATTCCGGGCCCGGCGGCCGCGGGGAGCGGGTGCCCGTTAGGAACGGGGCTGCCGGCCTCCTCTTTGCCTTTTGGGGGTTCTTTTTGTAATAGCAGCAGGTGCAACTTTTCGTATTTTTAAAACATTGGTTTTTCATTTTCGTGTGCGTATGTGCGGGGTGGAGCGTGTGTGTGCGGGGGAGCGTTACCGCCGAGCTGCGCTCTACTAGGGCGCCAGGCGGGCGAAGCAAAGGCGAGGATGGCGGGCGGGCGGGGCGGCGGCGAAGGCGGCGGCGGAGGTGCCATGGGCGCTTTTTTCTCCCATCTGGTTCCCTTTATTTATTTATTTATTTAGACTAGAAAAAGCGAGTCGGCTTGGAGGGAGTCCGCCCAGCGATCCGAGTGCGCATTGATCAGTGTCGAGAGAAAAAAAAGCTACATAAATATATATTATGTGGATGAATCTATGGACAAGAGCTCTCGCGCGCGCGCTCTTTCTCTCCGTGTCTCTCTTGCTTTTTTCCTCCTCGAATCCCCAACCTGCCAGAGCAGCCCCACATCTTCGCCCTCCCGCACGGCGTCTGCCGCCCCCCGAGCCACCTGGGAGGTCGGGACCGGGCAGCAGCGGGGCCTCGCTGGGGGGACGGGGCGTAGACATTCGGGGCCCGGGCCTCGTCCCAGCCCGCCTGGAAGGCTGGAGGCGGGTGTTTCCGTCCCGGACCGCCTCCCCCGCCCCGAGGCGCGGCGGCGGGTCCCGCAGGCGGCCGGCGGGAGGAAGGTAGGAGCCGGGCGTCTCGGCCCGCTCGCCCGCCGAGGAAGGCGGCAGGCTGTGGGTGCCGTGCCGGGTCGGGTCGGGGAGCCAGCGCGAAGGACCGGCTGGATTTTGCCCTCGTCTGCTTTACTGGTGCAAATTGGCAAAAAAAAAAAAAAAAAAAAAAAAAAAAAAAGGAAAAGAAAAAAAAAATCTTTTTTTTTTTTTCCTTCATCCACCATCAAAGAAATAAAGCCCCCGAATCGCTACCCGGGCTGCGACCGGACGCAGACTCGCGCGGCGTGCGCTGCCCCCGCGGGTTCCGTCGGCAGCGCCTCCCTCTCCAGAAGTGCGAGGCTGGGAGTCGCGTCTGCGGGCTGGAGCCGAGGGTCCGGCCGCCCAGCCCGACTTTGCCGGGCTCCCCACCGGGCCCGCCGGGGCCAGAACCTCGGCTGCGCGGGAGAGGGAGTGGCCGGCGCGGGAGCCGGGCCCGAGCAGCCCCGCCTCTGGGGGCGAAACGCTGGTGGTGAACTTGGGCTGGGAGAGCAGATTTTCATTTTACTGATATTTACCTGCCCCTCATCCTCTCCCACGTTTGCTTTTCCAGGGCAGCCTCTTCAGCACGGCTTCAGAAGCCGGGCAAATTAAAATAACGAGCCCGCTCCCCCGCGAGTCGCGGGGGCAGAGCTGCTGGCCTGGCCCCGGTCGGGCTCCCACCGGCCTCCTTCGGGGGTTCTGAGTCTCTCTCTTTTCTTGCCCTCGGATTACATGACGTTGTTAGACAGTATGTTTAAGAATCTTATTTAAAGAAATGAGACCCCATCTGCCTGAAAACCGAGACCAAGCCCGTTTGGTACAACCACAACGCGGAGCTCTCCGGCGCCAGGAGGAGGCCCGAGGAGGCCCCGAGGTTCGCAGCCCCAGGCCCCGAGCCCACCTGGGACACCTCTCCCTGAGGATCCAGGGCGAGTGACCAAACAGCAAGTACAATTCTGAGAACTGTGGAACTTCATCCTTTTCATGTTAAGATTCTCCTGTGTTTTCTTGATGGAATTGTGTGTAAGTATAGTTGATTCATAACTCGGTTCTGGGCTTACATTATCCAGTGTTATATGGTGGCCTAAGAATCGCAAACGTTGATGGAATCAACAGAAACTCACACTTAGAGCCTCTCTGCAATGGAGCTGTGTGCTTGGAGTGCCTGGGAAGTGCTGTAATAAGGTGGCATGGCCCTGGTAGGGTTTGAGCTGGTGGCTTGGAGGTGCGTGCCTATGTCTTGTCAGCTCTGTGGGTGCCTGTGTGGAGGTGTCCACCACCGACCCTGTTTGTATCCACACTCTGCCTACGCGTGTGTATGTGTGTGTGTGTGTGTGTGTGTGTGTGTGTACCCACCAGGCTGAGACCTCCTCCTCCCCTTTCCCTCAGGACACAACAGCAGAGGCCAATATCTTTGTCCAAAATATCTCTTCTAACATCATCTTATGGTGCTGGCTGGCTCTTACCTCCCAGGATCTCACAATGGAGTGGGATGTATTTTCTGCCATAATAGTGGAGAGTAGGAGAGTATTCCTACTTGAGGTCTCTCTTTCTTCCCCTGCCCCCCACATCCTTAAAGCAAAGCTAGGTCTGGGGGAAGAGAAGGGAGTGAGCTGGGGTAGGGGGGCTGGGAGAGGAAGGGACCTCCCCAGAGAAGGGGAGGGCAGCTGTGGTTTGTCTTTCACCTCTTCCTGCCACCACCCCAGCCCCGCCCAGGTCCAAGTAAATTATTCACAGGTGTTTCATTATTCATATTATTATTAATAATAATAGTCAATACATAAATAAAAGCAGTCCCTGGGCAGGAGTGAGTGGGAGAGTGGAGTTGTTAATGGAAGGGGGCATCTGGTTATTTCAGACGCCTGCATGAACGCTGCCATAAGGTATAACATCAACTCCCTTCAGGACTGCACCTCTGCCCCTGCACCCCGGCCCTCTCCCTGTGTCTCTCCACGTGTGGACCCAAAGCTGTGGAGGGCTCCTTCTTCCCTAGGGAAAATCCCTCACCCTCCCCTCTCTCCCACCTGAGGATGGCTTATTTTGGATTTGGAACGTCGCCCCTTAGGGGGTAACACACATCTCTCACTTCTCAAGCTCAGCTCTCTGACTGGTAAGTGCTGAAATGCCCCACATCGCTGGGGCAGAAGCAACCAGGACACCAGGCCCCATATAACTGAGCTACCCCTGTGTAAACAGCGGCAGAAGCTGCTTCTGCCAAGGCATTGATCTCTTAAAGGCGCAGAGCTGGATCTCTGAGGCTTCTACTGCTTTGGCACCGCAGAGTATTGGGGATAAAATAACACAGACAAGTGTTTCAAACTGAGGCAATAAAGGAGCAGGACCCCAGAGATAATAGTAAGGAACGTGGTTAGGTTGCCTCTTTGGTATCCTTGCCCTTGATATTCTAGAAAGACTTGAGCTAATTTTTTTTTAACCTTAGATCATCAAAGAGAAATGTAACTAGGGAAAGATGGGGGCAAAGTATTACTCACTGTGACATTTAAACAGATTTAAAACTTTTTCTTCAAGTGCCACTTCATGGCCACAATGATTCCATCCACTGAGAGGGAGAGGGCTGGCAAATGGAAGTGGGGGCTGGGAACAATTGCTTCTCAATTTCTCTCTGTGTTTGGGGTTTACATTTTTGTTGCTGATTCATCTATGGGGATGTCAGGAAGACCTGTGTGGTGGGGATCTTGGCTTAGATGGTGTAGTTCTGCAGGCCTTACCATTGCCTCCTGCTCCTCACTTCTCCTCCCCCTCAAGGGAGGAGGAAGCCCTCTCCCTTTTCCACTTCCTTTCCTTGGACCCACCATCACTGTCTCCTTCCGGCACCCACTGAACCACATTCTGCAGCCCTGACCCTGGCCCCCTGCCCCAAGGCCTGCTTTGGTTCACCTGCCTATGAATCTTCTCTCTCCATCTAGATTGTGAACTGATGGAGGGTAGGAAGCCAGTAATCTGGCCCCTCCTTCTCTGTGGCCCCTTTTGACAGGCACGAGCAAGATGGAGTTTCTAGACACCTATACCTAATCTGACTTTGAGGTGGGGGTGTATGATGCTGTGTTCATTCATCTGGGGCCTGAGGATGGGCAGGCACTCTCCCAGGAATTCAGATTCCAGGATGAGAACATACAGCAGCTTAGCTTCCCAAGGCTGCACAGCAGGGCTCAGGGGCATCACCATGCAGTCATCCTCACATTCATCCAGCCCTTCCAGTCTCCCACTGGAAGCAGCAGAGTGAGGGGTTGGCCTGTGAGAAGAACCCACACTATCTCATTAGAGAGACCAAAGTCATACCAACTGAAAAGCCCCGGAACAGCAAATGGCAACAGATGGTTAGTCTTCTAGGCCTGAGGAGTTCCACACGCGAGAAAACAGAAAACAATCCAAGTTGTGTGTGATGGGGGGCAGCAGCCTTGAGGAAGGAGGGGGTCCTTGTGTAGGCAAGAGGCAGACGGTGGGACATGGCCAGAGCACTGCTTGATGGCCTGGCCTGGGTGCTAGGAGGGCAAGAAGCAGCTATTTCTCCAAGGCTATGTGGACAACAAGCTGAAAATAGAGTAGTGGTCTGTCTGCCTGAGGTTCCCCAAACAGGGACCAGACCACGGATTAGGTGTGTCTGTGGAGCCACTGCTCTGCCCAGACCTCCAGAAGGCAGTGAGGGGAGGCTGGAGACAGGGAGACTCACTTGCCCTCTGTAGGGAACTCATGCCTGATTTAGGCAGAGAGGTTGGCTCCGAGCAGAGCAAGCACACAAGGGCAGGAGCTCACCGAGGGACAGAGCAAAAGTTGTTGGCGATGTGTGCCATGGGACCCTGGAGCAGCTGGAGCTTGTGTAGGCAGTGGCACCCTGCGAAGGCTCTCTGGAGGCGAGAACTCTGATCTGGTCCTGCGGGAAGAGGGAGTCAGCTTATGAAGGGAGGAGGGAGGTTGAGGCAG